TCCCAAAAGGGCTAACTTGGCCCTTGAATAGATCTACAGGAACCAAATAAGATGACTGTTATTTCTTCCGTCACCTCTAGGTTTTGCAAGGGCAGCTCACTTGGATTGAAGTGAACTTTGTTTCCAATGGAGGAATTGCAAGCTGGCTACAAGCATTGCCAGTCAAGTCTTTCAGGGTCCATTAGGCCAGGCGCTACGCTGAGCAAACACAGCTATCCTGCTTCCTGAACCTGCTCAGGTCAGAAAACAGCTTGGCAGCATGGCCCAAGCCGGCTCTAAGTGGAGCCAGCAGGTGTATCAATGCCACATTCCCACAACGGAGCACAGGCATTCACCTTGGATCCACCGTGGATGATAACACATTGAAATAATATGCCATTCCAGAGCCCAAAGCATAGCACAGTGTTTACATGGCAAGGTTTTGGTAGCAGAGGGGGCTACAGGGGTGGTTCCTGTGAGAAGATGGCAGAAGCTGCCCCCATGTCCGACAGAGCCAGTTCCAGCCGGCTCCAAGATGGACCCGCCGCCGGCCAAGGCCGAGCCCATCAGCAACAGTGGTAGCACCTCTGTGATAACATATTTAAGAAGGGGAAAAAATTGCTGTGCAACAGCAGTCAGAAGAGAGGAGTGAGAATATGTGAGAGGAACAACTCTGTAGACATGAAGGGCAGTGAAGAAGGAGGGGGAGGAGGTGCTCCAGGTGCTCCTGCAGCCTGTGGTGAAGACAACAGTCAGGCAGGCTGTCCCCCTGCAGCCCATGGAGGTCCACGGAGGAGCAGATATCCACCTGCAGCCTGTGGAGGACCCCACACTGGAGCAAGTGGATGTACCCCAAAGGAGGCTGTGACCCCATGGAGCGCCCGTGCTGCAGCAGGCTCCTGGCAGGACCTGTGACCCCGTGGAGAGAAGAGCACACGCTGGAGCAGGTTTGCTGGCAGGATTTGTAACCCTGTGGGGGATCCAGGCTGGAGCAGTCTGTTCCTGAAGGACTGCACCTTGTGGAAGGCACCCACGCTGGAGCAGTTCGTGAACTGCAGCCTGTGGGAAGGACCCACATTGGAGAAGTTCATGGAGGACTGTCTCCCACGGGACAGACCCCACGCTGGAGCAGGGGAAGAGTGTGAGCAGGAAGGAGTGGCAGAGACAACACGGGATGAACTGACTGCAACCCCCATTCCCTGTCCCCCTGCACTGCTGCGGGGGGAGGAGGTAGAGAAAATGAGGAGTAAAGTAAAACCCGAGAAGAAGGGAGGGGTTGGGGGAAGGTGTTTTTAAGATTTGGTTTCATTTCTCATTACTCTACTCTGACTTTTGATTGGCAATAAATTAATTTCCCCGAGTCGAGTCTGTTTTGCCTGTGATGGTAATTGCTGAGTGATCTCCCTTGTCCTTATCTCGACCCACGAGCCTTTTGTTGTATTTTTCTCCCCATGTCCAGTTGATGAGGGGGAGTGATAGAGCGGCTTGGTTGGCACCTGGTATCCAGCCAGGGTCAATGCACCACACAGAGAAAGATCTCTCTGGTTCTACAGGAAACCTGAAAACACAAACTTTAAAATGAAGTAGTCCAAGAACTTATTCTGCTTAATCTATCCCATGGAAGGTTAAGGTATGATTTGCTCAAAAAATCCCACAACTCCTTGGGGAGCAATTCAAGTGGAAATACTTCAGACCAAAGAGACAAATACGTTTCAAAATCAGCTAACAAAGGTATATGACAATAGCGAAGATGAAGTTAGCCAGTTAGCAGGTATGTGGCTGACAGTAAGTATAAATAGCCAAGTAAAGGTGACTGAAGGCTGTGTGGATTCTCCATCTCTGTGTACCATTATTAGAAAAATGAAGTCTTGATTTAAAAGTCCTTGATCTACCTCAAACAGGAAATTATTTGGGAAAATGCCCCTAATCCCTTGTCACAGAGAACATGATAAATGATTGCAATGGTTTTCTATCATTTAAGATACCACTATATTCCCAGCAAACAGAATTACTGACCTACCACCAACCCTTCTAATTTGCGGTCAGCTATTTCACCATCCTTATCCACTATTTTCTTACATTGCCTTATGATTTGCTCCCTGACCTCCAGTGGTGACTCATCAGCAGGCTTCCTGAGCCTAATGCAAATTGTCTTGCAGCAGTGCTGCTTCTGCATCAAGCACCATCCTGTAATGACCTACCTGAAGGATCTGCTGCTCCAGCTGTGAGTTGCCTTTGCATAGGTTCATTATGTGCTGCAACAATAGCTTCGTACTCTCTGTTTTCCCTGCACCACTCTCTCCACTGCCAAGAAAAAGCAAAGGAAATTCCAGCAGCCGTAAAGTATAGTTGTTCTGCCCCTTATGTCTTAGTGCCCCATCATATGAGAGTGCTCTCCTGTCCAAATGTTTCACAACTTTTTCAGCTGAACTGCATGTGTGAGTACAAACTCACACCACAGCTTTACACAGCGGGTTCCATGAGGTCCCGATTCCTCCCCAGGGGAATTTTTCCCCATCTGCAAGGGAGTACAGATATACCCCATGCCGTCACTTCTGGATGGGATGCACAGGACAGACCATTTGCTCTGTTTCTTAAGAAAAAAAAATTACGTAACTTCTGGAAAACAACCTCCTTTAAAAGTGATCTGATACATCAACTCCCCGACACATGCTGGAGTTGACAGCTTCCTCCTTCTTCAAAGAGATTTGCCCCATGCATGTCATATACACAACTGAGTACTGATCTTGAGATACTGCGGCAATCTCAAATCTCAGGCGCTTCACACATTCATATGCATCAGCCGGTTGAGAATGTGGGCACATGGCCACAGAGCTGCCCACACACCCACAGCGGCAGCGGTGCACGTCACTCTGCTGTCACATGTGCCCAGCACCTCCACCTCCAAGTCAAACAAGCAGCACTTGGAAAGCGCAGTTTCCCCAGTCCTGGGAGGAGGAAGGTACAGTCAGTGAGACAACATGTCCTTGACTGACAACATCATACCAGCAGAGAACTTCAGTGCATGCATAAAAAAAAAATATGCAGGAAATGCTGAAGGTATACTTGAGGGCAGGTCTCTGTTTCAACACCCGACCTTTGAGCACCTGGTGTGGCTTTACACTTTGTAGCTCCCAGTGGCTCTGTGCTTGGGATCAAGTAGGTGTCATAGGTGGCTAAATACCTCAAATACTACAACTCAACTCAGATCAGGCCATCACTATCCGAATATGCACAAACAAAATAGGACCATTTTGCCATTTAAGAACATGCCATCCAGACAGCGCCCCTGCTCAGTACGTAAGATCTTTCTTCTGTTTTCAGTGACTTCCTTCCTCCATGAAAGCACTATCAGTCAGCACTCCCATGGTTCAAGCTTGTCCTTGTACCCTCCAACAAGCACAACAGCTTCACCAGGTCCTGCAAACACTATCCAGCTGCAGGTGTGTAACTGCCCCAGGCTGTGAAGAAAAGCAAAGTCATCTCCAGGAGACCCAACTGCTATACCACAGCATACCCAGGCTGTGACTAACATCCGTTGGGATTGGGACAGCAAGAGGAGCCAGTGGAATTTGCAGCACAGGACAACTTGATTGCAATGAGCATTTGTCACCTGGGGGCAGCTGCTGCATTCAACATCAACCTCTGAAACATGCCATCCAGACCTCCCAGACTAAGCTGGAGAGACTAAAGAGACCATAAAGAATAGCAGAGCCTGGTGCGTCCCCATGCTGTTCTGATGAACTGTGGTCTAACAGGAGTGACTTCCTCCTCCCCCCTCTGCCTCAACTTTGCTCAAGCCAGGTAATCTTATTAATGAGTGTTTCACCACTGGCACAGAGCAAAACCATGAACTTCCTGTGACAACAACTCACAGACCAGTTAATAGGGTTGCAAGATGCACAGGAGTAGCTCAGTGTCTCATCTCTGAGACCACAAACTGCTGGCAGAAAACAATCAGACGGCTGACTTCTTTGCAAACGCCCACAGGTTACTCTTTCCTGTCTTCCATCTCCCAAGACAAATGCTATGACTGTTCTCCATCCCTAAGAGTCCTACCAGCAGCACCTCTTCTACCTGCTGACTCCACAGCCACCACTTCATGAGAGGACTTCATGTAAAGCACAAGCACTGATAGCTTGCAGGCTAGAGAAATGAGTGAGGCTCAAGTCACCTTCAAGGTCAGCTCCCAGTCCCACCACAACACTCAGCAGTGATTCAGCAAGTCATTTCCGCACCATGTAGACTGAAAATACTGATAAAATGAACAGAAGGCCAACATAAAGAAAGGAATATTAAATCAAACAAGCTGGCAATTAACATTTTAACTGAGATCGCATTTAAACTGTTCTCTACAATACCCGCAGTCAGTGTCTGGAGGCTTTCTCCTTGATGCTGTTTGAGGCTTTCTCTGCTATAGTTGATGTTGTTTCAGGCTTTCTCTACTAGCTGATGCTGCCCTGCAGTTTTGGCAGAACAATAGTAACATCATGGAGTTAAATGCTTGTGACACTGGTACGCTATTCAGTTACAAGAGCCCATTTTTTTCCCTTCTACTGCAGAGAACTGTCCATGACAGTAAGATTTTCCCTTAGGTCTTAGGGCAAAAAACCTTCCGTTTTTCTTTCTCCTGCTCTTTGGTTATATATGGGAAGCTCCACTTTGGGAAAACAGGTTCCTTTCATTATGTATAACCTCTGTTACAGCAGTTACGGTGGGACTTGTTTCACCAAAGAAGAGCACCCTATGGCTTTCCCCAGAGTCGTTTAAATCTTTCCAATGCCACATCCCTCCAGAAGCAAACCCGACATATTCAGCTGCGTTACCAGCATCAGCAGCCGAGCTGCTCCACAAAAGCCAGCTTTGTTCGCCACGCACCTCCGTTTGCAAATGGAGAGGTCAGGAAGAGCAATGCGTGGCAAGCGCAGCTGGATTTTGACTCACCAACAGCATTGGTGATGAACTTCACCTGAAACTTCAGCAGGGAGAGCCCAACGAGAGCTCGTTGGCCGCCACCTGGACCCCCACCTCTGCTTGGCTCCAGCGAGCCCCCAGCCCGGCCTGGTTGCCCACCCAGACCTCACCTGATGACGATACACTGGCTCTGGGGCCCGCCACCCCGGCGGCCCAGCATGGCGTGGTAGGCCCGACTGGCCACGGCGAAGATGTGGGGCGGCAGCGTGCCTGTCTCGTGGTGCCGGTACCGCTCGGAGACCTGGGGGGAAGCGGTGGCAGAGAGGTGGTGAAGGGGCTGGGGGTCAGCGGGGCCCGGCCGGCGGGGGCCGCGGGGACTCACCTCCCTCCCGTACACCGGCAGGGGCTGGAAGGGGTTCATGGCGACAAGGATGTCCCCGAC